TTTCATGTCACAGTCAGTCACCCGCTATTGTGTCCTGCTTTTAAGTATGGTACTCTTTGGTTCTCCCCTATGTTTAGCCTTTAGTGTCTCAATCACTATTGCATAATATGATATATTTTGAAATGCTTGCATACTTCAATAGCCTTATTATTTTGTCCACTTCAGCCTGTCACTCACAGCAGCAGTCCAGGGTCTATTAGCATGCGAGTGAGCTTGTTGAAAGATCAGTAGCTGGTGTGACTAGCTACTTGCAAGGGTGAGAAGGAACATCAGCTAATGAGCAGTAGTCAAAGATAACACAAAATAAACAAAACACAGTGTTAAAGCGCAGAATACCAGCTTTTTTTCGCCCCTCTTTGCCCTTCTTTTATCACACTGAGTGTTGTGTATGCCGATGTTGACTGCGCCTACATAGGACCCATTTGTCAAAACAGTATTTTTGTGGTTTTTAAAGCTAATTAAAACGTCCTGTTTCGTGGGAAACCACTCTTGGCTTTTAACTGCGGGTTAAGCTGATATCCTTTTTACCAGTGCCTTGAAAATGTGCTATACAGGGCCAAATGAGACGAAAAGCTTTTTTTTTTTTTTTTGGTATGTACTTTGTCCTCCAAGTCAAACCCAAAAAGTTCATTCGCATCCCTCTCTCCAAACCCCCGGCAAATATCACACCTCGGATGCATAAACATGCTTGAGCTCCACACATCAAGCCACGCAGGGGGCCTGGCCGGCTATAGAGCCGCACTGTGACACCAATCAGGAATGATGGCAGCCTTCTTTGTCATGCTAACAGGAATTGCCTCTTCTCTTATTCAAATGCTCTCCTTCTCTTTCTCCCTCCCTCCCTTCATCCCTCTCTCCTTTTTTCCCTCCTCATGGGCCATGTAAATCCATACTTAGAGAGTTTGAAAAAGAGGGAGAGCGAACGAGAGAGGGAGTGAGAACTCCCTGTCCCCAGAACCGTTGATCGGTGGGCCTCTCTCCTGGGGGTCAGCGTGGCCCTCGCAGCGCCCAGCTGTTTCCATGCCTAGCCGAGCGCATTTCATATTCAAATGCTCCAATCAGGACTGTGACCCACGGGGGGCTTTTTTACAGCCCGGGCCTTGGGTCAGCGGGTCAAGATGGTGATTTAATAGCCAGGGCGATGGGATAAAAAAAGGGAAAGGAGTGATTTAGTGACTGAATGAGTCATAAAAAAGCATTTTTCTTAAGTTGTCATGTAAATGCCAGTAGCCTGATTCAACTTTTCCTTTTCCTCGTCACCTGGCTTATGCATCTGCTTGTGCTGTTTAGACTAAAATCGCTAAAGACGTGTTAGAGGGACAGTATGAAAATCAAAGGTTTATGGTCCTTCTGTGGTGTGGTGTGTTGTGGGGCAATCTTACCTGAGCATCTTGTTATTCATGTCTCGACAGGTGTGTTCGCTGCAAATTATAGAGCTGGTATGTACGTGTAGGCTGGTTGTCATGTGCTAATTATTCTGGAGACTGGCTTTGCATGTGAACAAACACTGAATAAAATTGATGTATCGTTGTCTTTATTATGCTTACCCTATGGCACACACTGTGTGAACACCTGTGGAAGCTACCGATAAAGCAGTTATTTTTAAGTAGTAATGCAACATATACCAAAAAGAGCTATAGATTCATTTACCAAGTAGCCTAAACTATAAGTTTTTCATTTCATTACAGACAGAAACATGTATCGGGCGAAACTGAATGAATCTGAAACAAAGCAAAACTGTCAAGAAATGAGAAAGTATTTGAATGTTTTTATTTGATTTTTTAAAATTATTTAAAATTAATTTGATAACACTTTAAAATAAAGTTTCATTTGTTGACGTGTAACTAACCTTAACTAACATGAATGATCAATTTTTTTTCTTTGTTATCGTTAGTTAATAAAAATACAGTTGTTCATTGTTCATGTTTGCTTACAGTGCACTTATGTTAACAAATATACATTTGATTTTAATACTGTATTAGTAAATGTTGAAATTAACATTAAATAAGATGTAGAAGTATTGTTTATCATATTGTTCACTTAGCTTTTAATAAAAGTAGCTAACTATAAAACCGTATTTTTAATAAAAAGGATAAAAAAAAGGATAATCATGTCTAACTGTGCATTAAATAGAAGGCAATGAACCACCCGACGTAAAGTGGAGGCAAATTTATTATCCTGAAATCGAAAACAAAGTGCCTCTCGGTTTTCCCTAATCTTCTTTAGACTGTCCTAAATACGCTGTAATATGCGAAAGGCTGATGGTGATGGGTGTTTAGACGTCCCTTGATTGGGAGTCGTTAGTATTTAGCTGAAGTCCGTTGAAATGTAAAAGAGGCCTGTGTGTGAGAGGCGCTGCGCTACCCACAGAAGCTCAGTAGCAGCCCACCTCAGTGACTGACAGGTGGGTCAAAGTTGGGGATTTAAGGTGGCTCGGGGATTTGTGTGAGGCCCAATAGCCAGCCTCCTCTTTTACACTGATGCAGTGAAGTTTTCAATGCGTGATGATGTGTGTGAGAGGAAGGGAATTAAAGAAAGAGACTTTGCTTAATGTTGTGTGTGTGCATGGGTGAGTTTTAGCCCAACCTTCAATGGGCACAGCTGTGTTAGTGCCTAGATGTGTTGTTCTCGTGGCCCGTGGAGAGAAGGAGCTCCTGCAGGTCGGCAGACTAACACCATCCTGCCTGTCTCACTCTTTATGTCTATCTTGCATGACCAAGAATATGGCGAATAATAGAGGGTTTGTTCCTGTTCTCTCTTCTCCTCAAAGTGATGTGCATCGAGACAACCATAATAACCCATTTAATGTCAATTTTCTTTTACGTTGCATTGTTTTTTCATGGTTTTTGATGATTGTGTGACTAGCAACCTGTTTATGCTGGAATCTGCGTCTAACTTCTACCTACAGATACATTATTTTAACAGGAGTTTGATTGGGTGCTCAACCTTTTGACAACCTTAGCCCTTAATAATTACTAGAAAGAGTTTCTTAATAATCCTTTAGGACTCCACAAGTAGTATACTGAGGATGTAATGCAGTTTGACAGAGCTCAAAGGATTTGTGCTCTAGACCCTCAAAGGCTTCCTGAGTGTCATAACCCTTTGTGTAGACCCTTTTAATGGAAAGGGTGGCATTGTATGGCAAAGGAATCACTGAACACTCAGGGGAGGAGAGCCTGATTTTCAGGGACTCTAAGCTGAAAACAACCAAATTTTAAGAACAGTATTACTTTTGGCACATTACCTTTAAGATCATGAATATACTTCTCTCTACATGACATGTATGATATAACAATAGCATTTGGTTTAGACACATTACACTGTAAAATAAAGTGTTAGCAGTTTTTTTATATCAATAAAGCACATTTTATTTATAAACAGCATAATTTGCTAAATCTAAATGTAAAACAATGCAGGATATTAGAGCTTAGGTATACACTCACCTAAAGGATTATTAGGAACACCATACTAATACTTTGTTTGACCCCCTTTCGCCTTCAGAACTGCCTTAATTCTATGTGGCATTGGTTCAACAAGGTGCTGAAATCATTCTTTAGAAATGTTGGCCCATATTGATAGGATAGCATTTTGCAGTTGATAGAGATTTGTGGGATGCACATCCAGGGCATGAAGCTCCCGTTCCACCACATCCCAAAGATGCTCTATTGGGTTGAGATCTGGTGACTGTGGGGGCCATTTTAGTACAGTGAACTCATTGTCATGTTCAAGAAACCAATTTGAAATGTTTCAAGCTTTGAAACATGGTGCATTACCCTACTGGAAGTAGCCATCAGAGGATGGGTACATGGTGGCCATGGTCAGAAACAATGCTCAGGTAGGCCCTGGCATTTAAACGATGCCCAAATGGCACTAAGGGGCCTAAAGTGTTTCAAGAACACATCCCCCACACCATTACACCACCACCACCAGCCTGCACCGTGGTAACAAGGCATGATGGATCCATGTTCTCATTCTGTTTACGGCAAATTCTGACTCTACCATCTGAATGTCTCAACAGAACTCAAGACTCATCAGACCAGGCAACATTTTTCCAGTATTCAACTGTCTAATTTTGGTGGGCTCTTGCAAATTGTAGCCTCTTTTTCCTATTTGTAGTGGAGATGAGTGGTACCCGGTGGGGTCTTCTGATGTTGTAGCCCATCCACCTCAAGGTTGTGCGTGTTGTGGCTTCACAAATGCTTTGCTGCATACCTCGGTTGTAACAAGTGGATATTTCAGTCAAAGTTGCTCTCCTATCAGCTTGAATCAGTCGGCCCATTCTCCTCTGACCTCTAGCATCAACAAGGCATTTTTGCCCATAGGACTGCCGATTACTGGATGTTTTTCCCTTTTCACACCATTCTTTGTAAACCCTAAAAATGTTTGTGCGTGAAAATCCCAGTAACTGAGCAGATTGTGAAATACTCAGACCGGCCCATCTGGCACCAAGAACCATGCCACGCTCAAAATTGCTTAAATCACCTTTCTTTCCCATTCTGACATTCAGTTTGGAGTTCAAGAGATTGTCTTGACCAGGACCACACCTCTAAGTACATTGAAGCAACTGCCATGTGTTTGGTTGATTAGATAATTGCATTAATGGGAAATTGAACAGGTGTTCATAATCCTTTAGGTGAGTGTATAAGACATGGTCCTTATACTTTTTGAATGGTAGTGTGTATTTATATATTATAAATATAATGAAACAGAAAAAAGCTATGGACATTTGATCTTTACTGACAATATATTTAATAATACTTAATCTAAATAAAAAAAAAATAATAATAAAATGAAGGTCACACTACAAACACTTCTCTTCAAAATGTTCCCATACCACTAGCTCAGTGTAATCCTAAGATCTGTCAAACAGATTTTTTTTTTTTTTGCTCTGTTACATGCTAGACCTCCCACATAATAATACAGTTTTCTCATTGTGTGGTTTTCTCCAGAAAGCCTGTAAAGTCCTGTAAAATTCATACAAGCCTTAATTCTGTCATTAGGTGAGAGAGAGCCATTCTATGATTGGCTGCCCGTCTGCTCCATATTCAGAGGTGCTGGATGAGGCAGAGGGCCCGCTGGGAAAATGGTGTTGTAATCAGGAGCCGGCTGTGCTGCCTGATCAGGTATGAAGTCTGCTTCCACCTTCCTCAAAATCCTTCCTCATCTTCCTCATCTACTGGTGTGGTTAGCAGACCCCGATGGGAGCGTGTTCTCTGGTACCATTACACTATATGACCGTTGGCTGTTGATAGCTGGACGAAGAGGGGAGAACTGAGGCTGTGAGAGAGTGTATGTGTGGGCTTTGGGGGAGTATGTGATGTTAGTGCTAGTAAGTTGGGTGGGGGTATTTTTTTGTTCCCACATTTGATTATTCAGGTTGGTTGAACTAAATTTCTGAACCCATAAAATTCGGATCCCCTTTGGGGGCTATTTACATATATTTCAATCCCCCCTCCTACAGTCTCCCCAGCTTCTGTCTTTCCCTCCGAATGTGAAAAAAGAGGGCAGAGCAACCAGGCCTGTCTGGTCTTTAAGATGTCACTGTGGTGTGAAATATAGGCGAACAAGCAGGGCTTTGAAACTCAAACTTAACCCCCCCTCCAACCCCCCCTCCCCTCCCCTTCCACAGACACACACACACACACACACTGTCACACACACACACACCTACTGTTTCACCCTCATAGACATACCTACACACAGAAACAACAAACCACCCCTCTCCCTCCATGCCATCTTAGCTGGTGCCCACTGAGACAGATCCATCTCTGGGGTCGCATCTCTGTATGTTCATGTGTACATATGTGACAGTGTGTTTTTGTGTTCAATAGGCTGGTGGGGTCCAAGCACCAGGCGCAGATGTTAGGGACGGGCTGGCGAGGATGCACCTGTAGTCACTCCATCATGTGGCAAAAATTCTGGCAAGTATTAGATAAAACAGGTCATTTAGCATTTTATCTTCACTCAAAATGAAAATAAATAAAAAAAACCCTGTCATCATTTACCCACTGTCCTGTTGTTCCAATTCTTTATTTTATCTGTGGAACACAAAAGAACATATTTTGCTAAATGTATCAGGGTTTTTTTTTTGTCCATATAATAATGTCAATGGGGTCCACTTTGGACAAAATTGAATGTGTTTTGTATTTTATTTTATTCCACGTTGCGAAACATTTTATTGATTATTATTTAGATTTGAGTTATAAATTATTTGAATATATCAGTATTCATTTATTAATTTAAGTACCTTCAAGCCATTTTGAGGCTCCTCAGAAGTTTGCTGAGGCCCCCTAGTGGGTTCCGGCCCCCTGGTGGAGAACCACTGGCCTATAGTTACACATTAAGATACTGTAGTAAAGGTTTAACATAGGTTAAACCCTGATATGAGTGATATGTTTCATTGTTATTATTGGTAAAGCTAATGCTTAAGTTGAAAGTTACTTTTTATGGATGTTTAGAAACTGTTACTTACCGTTAATTTTACATAACACAAACACATGTCTCCTTAGATTGATTTGTCAAGGGGGCGTGAAATAGTTGAATTGTTTCAAATGAACACCCTCAAGCCCCCACGTTGTGGATTAATTTTCTGACCGAAGTCTCCGAGGGACAGGTCTTAAAATTCCGCATGGGCCCAGTGCCCGGCGCCCCGCTGGAGAGATAAAGAGAACACATATGTAGCCAGGCTCATTCACGCTCCAGTTGAGCCATCCCAGCAGAGAGAGTTACAGCTGGCATGATGGGAACACTTGTTTGTTTAGGGTTGTTTTTCTGCCGAGTGCCATGGTTTGGTCGGATGGCACTTGTTTTGTGCGCTCCATCTGTGTATGTGTGTATGTGTTTGGTAAGTATCAGGAGGCTGGTGAGGGTAGACGGTGGGGGCAGAGTGGCATTTAGTCAAATAGTGTTCCTGGCCCCCATGTATCCCCCCTCTTCCCCCAATTCGGCCGTGTTCGCTCCCCAGTGCGCAGGCAGAATGCAGCGTCAGGAGCCCAAGCACTGAGCTCCCATTGTGTATGCTAAGTAAAGCGGAATGGCCGGGTGACAAAAGAGGGAGGAGTGGGGCTGAGGGCATACAAAGCCTGGGGTAGGGAAGGGATGGTGGGTGTGTGTGTGTGTGTGTGTGTGTGTGTGTGTGTGTGGGAAGGGGGGGGGGGGGTGTGAGGGCCGCTGAGGGCTAAATAGACCCACTCTGGCCCCCAAACCCCATCCATAACCCCTGTCCCCACCTCCGACCAACACCCCTCTTTCCTGCCCCAACCCCTCTGGAGAAATTGGTGCCCACTCCTGAGAGACACCAGAGCTGTAAACTTGAGTCATATTTAAGAGAAATATGTTTTACTTTGTAAAATGTGAAAATGCAAGTAGCTTGAAATGCATCAAAAAATTTGAATTCAAGATGACTGACATTTTAACTACTACTACTTTATGTCTCACAATGTGACTTTATGTATCACAATTACTACTTTTTATTTGACAGTGTGACTATTTCTCACAATTGTGTTATTTCTTGACAATATACACTACCGATCAAAAGTTTGGGGTCGGTAACACGTTTTTTGAAAGAAATTAATTATAATTTTTATTCAGCAAGGATGCATGAAATTGATCAAAAGTGACAGTAAAAGATTTGTAATGTTCCCAAAGATCTTGGTTTCCATAAAGCAGCGCATTATAATGATTTCTATAGAATCATGTGAGACTGAAGAGTAATGAAGAGTAACTTTGACGTCACAGGGATAAATTACACTTGAAAATATTGAAGTGTAAAAATATTTTACAATATTACTGTTTGGACTGTATTTTTAGAATAAAAAATGCATGCATCCTTGAGACACTTTTTATCAAAAATATGACAATTTGTATTCAACAGTAGCTCATAATCTCAACTCAGTTTTATCATAATTGAGATTTTATGCCTCACAATTATGACTATTTTGCATACTTATGTTTTATAACTGTTGGTGTTACTGTCATGTGTGCAGTATGTATATTGTTTTGTGCTTTGTGTTTGTCAAGTTTGGAATAGTTTAATGTAGAATTTGCAAACTTGGAAATGAAACAAATGCAATTTAATTTCCCATTGTATAGGCCTATATAAGGTTTAACTGAGAATAAAATGCTGATTTGACTTGTTTGGCTCACAGAGGCTGAGACTGGGTGAGTCCCAATATACCATTTGGACCGTCCTTTGGGCAGATTTGGATGCCTTTCACAACAATGATGTTCAAGTTAACATCCGAATGGCCTGCAGTCATGGAGAGCTCTGATTCTGCCCTGTGGGCTGGAAAGTTCACAAAGCCAGGGGCTGGTCTTTGAAGAACCCTCTTCCTCGTTCTGCCCTTCCTCTGCCCTCTCAGATGCAAGGTAACCTCAGCACATCAAAGAGAGGCTCCATACAGAGTCCACTTGATGCTGTTATCCTCCCACCCCCAAAAACACACACTCACGGCACCACAGCTCCCCTTACACACATAGTCCAGCCATTGCATAGCATTTGAACAAAAAAACCCAACAACAACCTACAACCAAATCACCAGTCCCACCTGTTAACCTGACCTCTGTTTGTCCTGGTGTTCTAGTAAGTGGATTGCCAAATGACTTCCCTCGCCTCTGTGATGTGAAATGAAAATCAAATATGCTGCTGTAAGAACCTCAGGGCAATAGGGCAGGTGCCCAAGACAATATTTGGCAGAGAAAGATGCCACCACCCAAATGTGAGTGTGCACGCCAGGCCAGAGGTGATCCTGAATGCCGGTTGTCAGCAAGCCCAGCGTTCTCTCGGCAGGCATGACCCGTGGAGTCATTATCCCTCCAGGTAAATCACCTCGCAATCAGTGTCTGAAGCCCCCTGCTCTCCAGATGATTCCCCTGCTGATTGGCCTAACTGGTCTCCTGTCTGAGGAACGATTACCCTGCATTGTTTTCTTTATGGCACATAGATTGAGCTGTTGTTAGCATCCGCTCGATGGGTAGAGGCAGCATGCGTGAGGCCGGGATGCGAGGATTTTCTCTGAGGTCGCTCTCATCGCGCTTGATAATAGTAACAGGAAAAGCATAGGCAAGATTTCATTCTAATGGTTTTGAATGAGCCTTTTAATTTGAAATGGCAAACTATGATTTCTTGAACTGGAAATGGTAGCCAAGTTGGTCGAGGTTCGGGCCAGACTCAACTCTGAAACTGGAGAATGAAATGATCAAGATGTAGTTGGAACATTTATTATTTGTCATTGGCACTTGCAAATTAGCTTTTATGAACTTGAGTTCCAGTAGTGATCAAGCCTTATTGTATTTCCGTTTACGGCGTTTGACCTCAAAAACAACAAGATGCTCTACACTCTCAATAGCACAATTCCCCATGTTAAATTTATCTTCTATATTGATAAACTGGATTCTCTTGAAAGACTGACAATAGTATTGTTCACACAGTATTAAGGATTTCTTACACAGTGTAACAATCTACAATCAGCACAGCAACATTCTGAGTGTTGCTGTAGATATTTTCATTGGCATATCACATGGCAATCCCAATCACAATTCAGTGCATTCAAACATGTAGACATGGTCAAGATGATCTGCTGAAGTTCAAACTGAGCATCACAATGGGTGAGTTGAAAGGTGAGTTAAGTGACTTTGAATGTGGTATGGATGTTGTTGCCAGACAGAAAGGTCTGAGTATTTCAGAAACTTCTTATCTACTGGGATTTTCATGCACACCTATCTCTAGGGTTTACAGAGAATGGTCAGAAAAAGAGAAGATATCCAGTTATCGGCAGCTCTGTGGGGAAAATGCCTTGTTGATGCCAAAGGTCAGAGGAGAATGGCCAGACTGGTTGGAGCAACAGTAACTCAGGTAACCACTTGTTATAACTAAGGTTCGCATAAGAGCATCTCTGAACACACAAGACGTAGAATAAAGCGTTGTGAATTTCGTTTCGTGTACCTACCCTGAAGTGAAAAAAATAAAACAAAATTCTGTATCAAATTAGATAAGACAAGTAGTTTGTTCAGGCATGGTTTTGTAGGGAATTACAAACCTGTATAATAAATAAAATGTATTATTAATTCTTAAAGCGCATGGAACGACATCAGCGTTAATCACATGTTTGCGTTTAAAGTCTGTTTAGAGACATTCATATATATTTTTACCTTATAGTTACTGTAAATCCGTCTTCTAGTTCATCAACGCCAGAGGAGAACTGGCCCCCGACTGAGCTGGGTTCTCCCAAGGTTTTTTATTTTTCTCTATTGGGTCACCTGATGGAGTTTTTCGGTTCCTTGCCACTGTTGCCTTTGGCTTGCTCAGTTGGGGATATTCAAATTAATTAACCAATCAGTAATACCCTTGATCAGCTCTACCAAATGTGGTTATTTTTCCACTAAGAAACGAGCATTGTTATTATGTTTTGAAGCTGCTTTGATGCTATCTATTTTGTGAAAAGCGCTATACAAATATACTTGACTTGATGTCAAACCTTGAAGCAGATGGACTACAGCAGCAGAAGACACACATAGGTTACAATTCACACAGGCTCACCAAAAATTGGGTCTGATGAGTCTCAATTTTTGCTGCAACATTTAGATGGGGTCAGACTTTGGTGTAAACCATATGCAAGCATGCATCATCTGCCTTGTATAAAAGGTTCAGGCTGCTGTTGTTGGCGATATTTTCTTGGCACACTTTGGGCCCCATAGTACCAATTGAGCATTGTTTAAACACCATGAGTATTATTGCTGACCATGTCCATCCGTTTATGATCACAGTGAACACATTTTCTGATGGCTACTTCCAGCAGGATAACACACCATGTCATAAAGCTCAAACCAGTTTCTTGAACATGACAATGAATCACCTTTGAGATGTGGAAGAACAGTAGATTTGCATGATGGACATGCTGCTGACAAATATGTAACTGTGTGATGCCATGTTAATATGGACCAAAATCCCTGAGGAATGTTTCCATATAGATATACCTTTAAACACAGCCTCCTGTAACATGGTTTCATATTCACAGTCAACACTTAAAACGAGTCTTATAATTATGCTGAAATGTAATTATCTGCATTTTTCTTGCAGGTAGATACGCCACAGGACAGGGTGTTTCCGCACAAGAAGTAACGGCAAAGAAATGCTTCAAAGAGAGAGGGTCTGTAGATTATTATTAGGAGTGTGTATACATTATGAAACTTTGTAGCTCTTCCGTCTTTCATATACCAATGAAAGTGTGTGGAAGGGTCTGTGTGTGTATGTTTGTATGTTAAGGGGCGGGTGGCCGGGGGCATTAGGCTGCGTGAGAGTGTGTGTGTTTAAGGGGGGCAGAAACCTGAGGCCACTGTGAAGCTCTGGAAACAAAGGAGATCCACGTGAGACTCAGGCACATACAGGCTTGGCTTACCTGCTCTACCTCCTACATGAACTTTTGGCCCGGAGAGCACAACCTGCAGCCTCTTGCCACTGCAGGCCACACCCTGTCTTCCTCACTTCCTCTCGCCCCCTCCTTTTCTCCTCTCCCATCTCTCTTCTGACCCCTCTATTCTTCCGCTCCATTCACCCCTTCATTTCCCAGCCACTTCTCTTTCCCTCGGCTTCCCTCTCACCGTCCTTTCCGTTGCGTGTTTTTTTGTTGGGTCGTCCCTCCGTCCACTTCCCTCAGTATTCTTCCTCCTCACACTCTCTTTCTCTTTCGTAAAATACGCAGTTCCCAAACTTACCGCCATTCTTTACTGTTGCGTTCGTGCCACACTGGACAAACCAGACTTTCAGGTCTTATTCATGGACAATATCAACTGTAAATGTGTGTGTGTGAGAGAGAGAGAGAGAGAGAGAGAGGTTGTGCTGGATTTGGGCTCTTGGGTGGGGCTAAATGCCACACAGCTGAGCAAACCTGGGCCACCACAACATCTTGTGTTTTCTTTTTTAACCCACACTTTCTCTCGGCTGTCTGTTTGAGGAAGGAGTAGGAGGAGGAATGTACCCAGACCCATTATAAGAAAATAATAGACCATGAACGCTGATGGTTTTCTCCCTTTGTTAGTCTTCACCTAGAATACATGAAGCAGGGCGCAGACATCACAAACACAGAGGTTCTGCATCTGGTTCACATGAAAGGCCTGTGTACAGCTGATGTAAACACACCATTAATGAAAGGCCTGACTGACATCATTCTGCTTTGAAGTGTTGTATGGTTAGTTGTGATGTTAAAGGAAGTTTAAGATCACCATCCATTCAAGGATTATTGCTTTATTAGATTAATAGCTAGGCTACACGTTCTTTCTTTCTCTTTCAGAGAGGACAGGATTTTGATCTATCTATCTATCTATCTATCTATCTATCTATCTATCTATCTATCTATCTATCTATCTATCTATCTATCTATCTATCTATCTATCTATCTATCTATCTATCTATCTATCTATCTATCTATCTATTTAATCTATCTATCTATTTATCTATCTATCTATCTATCTATCTATCTATCTATCTATCTATCTATCTATCTATCTATCTATCTATCTATCTATCTATCTATCTATCTATCTATCTATCTATCATCTATCTATCTATCTATCTATCTATCTATCTATCTATCTATCTATCTATCTATCTATCTATCTATCTATCTATCTATCTATCTATCTATCTATCTATCTATCTATTTAATCTATCTATCTATCCCTCAGCTTGGGTGTGGGTCATTTCCTGATCTTTCTGCAGTTAGAAGCCTGAAAGACGTGCCTGTGCCCGTGCTCCTGCCAACTGTCCTCTTCCTCAGCCTGCAGACATGGCTTAAGACTAACACTCATGCTCAAACACACACACACACACTTAAACCCAAAGTATACTTTAGTATCTGCACACTGTCCGTGTAATGTAATTTTCGTGATCAGGAGGGTCTGCGGATGTCTGCTTTTATCCTGTTTGCATTTTTTGCATTATCCTGTTCGCAATTTTTGTGACTGTGCAGACGGTGAGCGTACAACAGCACAAGTGCGGGTGACTTTTTTTCAGTTCAAAGAATAATAACATTGTTGTATTAAGAAACACAATAAAAATAAAAAGATATAAAAACAAATTACAGCAAATTAAACAGTTGCCAAGGGGAAGTTAATATAAAAGTTCAAACTAAGTAAATAGCCTCCTATGTAAATAGCCTCCTGCATACATACATAGGCTATAGCCCTACATATACAATTTAAATAAAGGTATTATAAAGTTCACAAGCTTTTAAAGTTCTTACAGCTTTCTTGTTCAAATTTGAAGCCTCTGATACTGTCATGTGCGAGTGACTTAAAGCGCTTGGAAACAATGTCAAACAAACTAAAAAAAATATTTTTTCTTTAAATGCCATTATTTTATATTAAAAAAAGTTAATAATTGTATTTTATTGCCAACATTTTTTTATATATATATTTTTTTTATTAGATCAGATAACGCTTTAAGCTGTCATAGTCATATGGCCATGTTTCAATAAGCCTCCCACGTTACAACGCGCCCCACCTAGTTGTACTAGACATGGGAAATTAATGTGGGGAAAAAATATTCTGAACCTTGTCCCTCAAAAACGTGTCTCTAAAAACGTTTTTAGCCCGCTGAAAACGCAAGGCGCTCTGCTGAAAACACCTAGCTCTGGGCGCTTGAGAGCGTTTTGGCAGCGCAGCGTTTTTGGTGGACTGGCCTGGCATGCTACAAAGTCTTGAGTCGTGGTTTGAAGTCGTGATTTACGTGCTCAAAAACCTGCCTGGAATGCAGCATTAGTCCCGCCCCTTCTCCACTGTGATTGGACGGCTGGGTAAAAAGTGACAGTGATGAGTGCTGCGTTTTATCCAAAGTTGAACATTTTTCAACTCAAGACGACCAGTAAAAAAATGCTGTGCGCTCTGCGCGAGACCGGCGCGCATCTAACACAGGTGTCTTTCATTATCACTCCGGCCTCGCGCCGTCCTCTTACGTCCCTCGCCCTCGATCGCCCTGCTCGTCACAGCCAACTAGAAATTTTGTGTGAAATGAATTTCAAACTCTGGTGACAGCTAACGTTAGCCTTGTAGATGGAAGACTGATTTCTCTTTTTGCGCTGTTCCGGATTAGTGGGTGTGGCTTGTGCAATGGGGTGCATTGTGGGAGTTGTTGTCTTACATACAAATGTACCCCTCGGTTATTTTCTGTCTTTTCTTGGTCAAGAGGGCAACAAATTCAAAAATTCTTTTACATTTCGACTATATATATATATATATATATATATGATCCACTTTCAATAAAGATTAATGTTGAAATAGGTGAAATGCTCCTTTAAAAAAAAAACGCGGCGTTCCCATTGAAAACATACGCCAGGCACCTGAGTCACGTGTAAAAACGCGTTGGTGGACACACGGCCTAATTTACAAGTCAAAAGGTGTTAAGTTGTACCCCTCTCCCCTACCCGGGCTTTACATCGTGATGACAGCCTGTCAATCACATAATATGTCAACTCCCATTATACCCAGGCTGTCATGCAAACCCGTTTCTGCATTCTAAGGACACAGACAAGAATGCAGATACCCAAATGTAGTATTAGATAACTATCTTTAAACTCTCTCTCTCACACACACACATGCACATGCACACACACTCACACACACAACTCTATTACCCAAATCACATCTCAGCCTCCACCCTCATGTACATAACAGCATGTAATGAGCAGTGCGTGAGGAGATCTGATGTGGTAATTACATGTTACGAACATGTTCAGGGTGTTCTCACTCTGAAGAAGACACAGAGTGTGTTAGGGGAAGGCTGTTGCTAACAATCCTGAGTGTTATTTCTCTTTTTATCAAGGCTGACTTTACGTTTTTTTTATATACATTTTGTTAATAACATGTATTGTGGTATATTGGTGTACAAACTAATGATACACTCTAAAAAATGCTGGGTTGTTTTAACCCAATTTTGGGTCAAATATGGACAAACCCGAAATGTTGGGTTAAAAATGTAATGTAAAAATTTAACCCAACGGCTGGGTTAGTCCATATTTGACCCAAAGTTGGGTTAAAACAACCCAGCATTTTTTAGAGTGTATGTGTGCTACTACGAGTCAAAAGTCAAATAAATATAATTTGCTCACCATGACTGTATTTGTTTGATCAAAAATACAGTAATATTGTGAGATACTGTAACAAAATTAAAAATATTTTATATTTGAATTTATTTTTTAATTTAATTTATTCCAGTGATAGAAGCATCATTACAGTCTTCAGTGTCACATGATCCTCCAGAAATCATTCTAATACACTGATTTTTTTTGTGGTAATACACCATTCAAAACTTTTTATATATATATATATATATAAACAAGGACACATTAAATTGATCAAAAGTGACAGTTAAGGCATTTATAATGATAAAAAAATATTTCTATTTCAAATAAATGCTGTTCTTTTGAACTTTCTGATCATCAAATATTTTTTATCACAATATCCACAAATATTAAGCAACTGTTTTCAACGTTGATAATAATAATTATTATAGAAAATAGAAAACAGTTCTATTAAATTGTAATATTTTGCAATATTAGTTTGGACTGTTTTTGATTTGTTTCAAAAACATATACATTTTGAATATTATTTAAATATTACTAATATAAGATTTAAACAAATACAGAAATATATTCTTCTAATAATATTGTACTGTGAACTGTGAAAAAACATTGAATATTTAATAAAATTATCAATAACAACAGTACAAAAATTTTTTCCCACACATGATGAAACCTCCTGTGGTCCACCTATAAACCATAATCCACAAAACACATGTCCAAGTGCATTATTTCCTTTTGATAAATTCATGACTATATATAACGTTTATTCTATAATACCTATAGTTTGAATACATCATTAGTACATTTAAATAATACACATTGGTTGATGTTTTGTTATCTGAAACCCCCAAAATGTCAGGTGGTGCAACTGTCCGAACAAATGAACAGAATAAGAAACCTATTTTAAATGTTATCTTAATAATACAAATTAAAAAAATAAATAAATACGATGGCAACATTTTAGATCTGTAATTTTATAGCAGTTTTAAAGCTTTTGGAGAAAAACTTTTGTCCAGCAATTTGTATTTTCTGTAATCTCAGGTTGGCACAACTGCAAACATGGCTCTTTTATTATGAATTGACAAGGTAATAACAGTAAACATGATAATGCATCATCCAGGACCTCAACTGATCCTTGTGGCAGAGTAAAAAAAGGTATCTCTTTCAAATACTGGTAAAAACTGCTAATTTCAAGTATGGATATGTTTATGTGCTATTTAGTTGTACCGCCTGACACGAAACCAGTCACAAATTAATTAACACGTTGCTGATCAAAAGATATTTAACAATTGAAACTTGTTTAAAAACATTATTCATGACTCAAAACATTACATCATTTTTGAAAAGATTTGTTAAAAACAAATTTGTAAAGTTTTTGGTCAATGACCCATATTCATTTTTATATTTAGGAGTGATTATTTTGATTAAAGACTTAACACACTTTAGTAAAAATGGCACAGTATGGTGTGTACACCCAATGTGAGTCAGTTAAATTTGTTTGCATTTGCTTCAAAACTAATTTCTGGATATAACTGCACGTACGTGCATGTAGTTTTTTATGTTTGTTTTGGTGTGCATAGCTGCGGTACGAACAAAGTTATGTCTATAAGCAATAAGATTTGATTCCATGGGTGGGTAAGAGTGTATTTATCAGTATTTTTGCCTGTACATGCATCTGTGAGTGTGTGAGTGTGTGTATGCATTTAGTGGCCTCTGGGTCTTCCTGTGAGTCATTCTCATGAGGTAAACCCCAGTAAAGCTGTCCTAGTCCTCTCTAATTCCTCATTAGCTCACGGCAGGCTGTCTCAGGGGGATTTGTGCTGCCTGTGTGAGTGTGTGTCCGTGTGTGTGTGTTAGTTTGAGCCCATGCGGTCTGAACGTGGAGAACCACAGGACCTCTCTGTGGGAGAGTGCTGTGAGCCAGGTGTGTGTCCACTGGCAGGTGCTTGTGTGTGTGTGTGTGTGTGTGTGGGGGGGGGGGGGTGTTTAAACGAGCTCGTTGGGTGGGTCGGCACAGCGGTGCATTAACTAGATCACAGTTTGGGATATTCTCCAGTGTATTGTAGCCTGTTTAAACACTTCACTGGGTTGTTGTCATGGTGTTAACCCTTACAAAAAACGATGAACCAAAGAACAAACCAACACTTTATTACAGTGGTCCACTTTAGACATTCGTAACTCTGCAACTCCATGTGAACTTATTCTACTAACCTGAACCGTAACACCGAACCTAACAGTCTACTAGTACTAATAATAATGAGAGCTAGACATGTTGTTGCAAAGTTACTTAGTAGAATGTCTAAAGTGGACCATCGAAATAAAGTGTAACCATATATGTATCTTATAATAAATGTTGTACCATTGAGATAATCACATAAATGATTGATTTTCAGTGATTTTGGAGTCTTGTGATGGCACAGTTACTGGTCCACCTCATCTCGCAAATCTTAAAAATGCATCAAGCTCAACAAAACAGGTGAGAGGAGCCATATTTGTATATTCAATGTTCATTTGATATTATTCTGTTTGTTTTGTGTGTAAAGGGTTTCTGTTCCTGTTTGCTTTTGTCAGGGACACTGAGCCCCCCTCTTACTGGGATTATCTGTCTGCTGGGTGAACAAGCCACGTCCTGCCCACTGCACCCAATTCACAGAGAAATTTACTCAAATCTGACAGGTACTTAAAAGCTCATTTTTTAAATTAATACTGTACCAAGGGGCATTTAGTTTAGACCAAAGAACCTTCCGTTATATACTGTATGAAATTAAGTGTTCATTTTATGGATGCCCTGTTATATTATAGCTACGCATAGCATATTAGTACTGTTTTTTGGTGATGCTTACATCTTTAAGCATGATGTGTAACACTTTATAAGGTCCCATTATTGAACATTTGTTAATACATTAACAATGAGCAATACATTTGTTACAGTATTTATTAATCGTTGTTAGTTAATAAAAATTCAACTGTTCATTGTTAGTTCATGTTACCTCAGGTCCATTAAATAAACTTTTGATTTGAATGAGGAAATTATCATTTACCAAGATTAATTAATTTTTTAGAAGTATTTTTCATTGTTAGTTAAATATGTTAGTATGTTCATTTAGTTAAATATGTTAGCATGTTCATGTAGGATAAAAGCGTCTGCTAAATGACTAAATGTAATTTAGTTAATATGCAAACAAATTAAACTTTACAAATCATAGATGTAGAGAGTCAAATGTAGCCTACATTTTAATTTTGCCCAATACACTTTAATGTGGGAGAGACAAAATCTTTAGCCATTTTTTTTTAGCTTTGGTTTTAATGAACTTTATATAGCATTTTTATTTCACACACACACACACAGTTTATTGTCGAATAAAAATGGGGGGCAGATTCCCCTGCAGCATCATAAATATAAACAAAATTTCAAATGTAAATGTCTAATATTAAAATTGAGTTTTGGTCTTTTTGTTTACAACTATAAGTTTGAGTACTTAATGAGGCAAGTGGACCATCTCCATCCGTTATGCTCTCTTTAGCGCCAACCAGTGGAGATGAGTGGAAACACATTACAGGAGAGATTTCACAGATGAACTCTCGATAGCAGGAGCTACATCAAGCTTTTTTATACTTTGTACCTTCATCTGCGAAATCAGACAAAATTGTTTTTTGATATGTAGGCTACATAATAATTCTGTACTTTATTTGGCATTTATTTGGACACTCCTGCGATTTTAGGGAAGTGTATACGTTATAGCTACACAAGAATCATCCTCTCTTTAGTTGACAGAAGTGTCTGTAAGGTCTGATATTATTAAATCTTTTCTTTTTCAGCGGTATTCTCTTTATTTCTCCAGCATGTATTGTCAGACCTCTGTGTGTTTGCTGATAATTGAGTAATTACCTGTATAAGATAGCACTCCTGCCGGGAAACACAGCTAATCTCACGGACTGGCCTTCCCCGCAGAACAGCGTTTAGCTCCGCTAGAGGCTAAATGCTCAGTTTAACTGCACAATTTACTGCGTGTATGTGCGTTTGAATGATCGCTCTCATTTCTGCCTGCATCAAATGAAGGTAGACGCAGGGAACAGTGCTTTGAACAATTTCCTTTTCTTAAAGGCTGTTTTGCGGAATGGCTTACAGATGATACGATGATAATGGTGACAATTTAGGGAATCTATTTTTTCTTTCTTTCAGTTCTTTACTCTGGAAGAGGCTTGGAATGTCACCAAAGTGGTTGTAAAGTCCATGGAAATGTAGTACCCTAAACTCTTTTAGTAGTGATTGTAAGAAGAATTTTGTGTTCAAATAATCTACAGCACCAATGATAGTTTTTTTTTTTTTTTTTTGGTTTCTTTTTTTTTTTTGGAGGATTTTGGCTGTCACATAAACTTGTAATTGACCTTAGTGGACATGGTCATAGACAATTTGCAATTTTTTTTTTTTTTTTGACAAAATACTGGTTAAGAAAGATTTTTTTTGCAATGAAAACTTTTGTAATGAGGCTGAGGTTCTCTTTATTCCTATGGGCCTCTTTTTTTAACACACACTCACAATGTTTAATAAAGTGTGTACTTCACACTTCCTAAGCTAATTATACTTTCTGCACAATAGTCTGAACCCATTTCAGATAAACGGAGACATCATTTAATTCTCATTGTGGGGATACAAGTTTGTTGTTCAGAAAGCTGGTCCCCATGCAGCAAACATCCACACACACAAATCTATGCAGTCCTCTGGTATTTGTAAATCTTTTTTTTCCCTCATGCAGATCCTGAAACATGACTGAAACCAGAACAGACCTGAATATTCAGTTACGGATGCATTTTCATGCAATTGTCCAAAAGGGGGACAAGAAGCAGTAAATGATACGCCACAAGGAGATCATATTAATATAACAAACACACACTCACAAGCATACACATACAAACAAAGTCATACAGACACACTAATAATAATCTGTAAGACTTCCGTTGAATTCCCACAATTGTCACACCCAGAAGCAACGGTAACATGAGAATGCATTTCACAGGGTCACTGCATGGAAACATGGGATACTCCGAGGTGGAAAACACACTGATCAATATCTCCTTCACCAACTTCAGAATGTTTCATTACTGAGTCTGATTCAGAGTGATAAGATTCATCTGAAGCACCCAAGTCATGTCCCTGAGACCGACGGCCTCGGCTTGTCTCTCGGCGGCTAGTCTGAGCGCTGGCACTGTGAAAGGGGCAGCAATATCCACTGATGTAATGTGAGAGATAGCGATCTTTAATGCGCTGCTTTATAACTTGTGGGCGTAATGTGAGTTTGGGGGGGTGAGGGGGTGATGAAGCAGTGTCGCTGGAATCCGCAGTGTTGTGAGAGCTTCATACCTTTCAGCTTCATTAAACCAATTTCACGCCGAGGTGAGCTAAGAGAGGAAACTCTGAGTCTCTGCCGCCGTAACAATGCCGCATTGAAGGGACGAGGCGAAAGTAAATTAGGTACCACTTCACAGACGGCAAATTAAAATCTGAAAGTTGGATAGGAAAAGTTGAGGGGGAGATGATTATGTCTTTATTGTGCTGAACCCCTTCCCCCCATCCCTTCCTTTTAGCAAGCACCTTTGCCCCCCACCCCCCAAGACTCTCTGCTTAGAAGAAATAATGATCTATTTCTTGTGTGGTAATTGGTTTCTAAGATGCCCTTGTCAAAAAAAGCACAGATTTTTGAATCTCTTAGCCTTCCTTTCAGTCATGTCATTTGGTTCTTATCAGTGAGATATGATATCCTGAGAGAATCGTATAAATTAAACATTAGTGTGGGTGCTTATTTTTGTTCCCTCATTTTGATGTCCACCATAGAGCTGCAGAGGTGTGATGTCTGTCTGGGGCCTTCGTGTTAGAAACCGCTGAGCATCAGGATCCTCAATTTTAAAACACCATCACTGAGTTAAAGAGGTCTGACATAGGCAAAAAACTGGTCTGTGTGTGTATACCGTGTGCTTTCTCTGAGGCAGTAGTAATGTGACCTGCAACAAATAAAGGAGGCACTGTAAACAGTCCACAGTCATTAGAGGTGTGAAATCAGACACTGACAGTAGCAGGAAGAGTGCTAAGTTCTCTGTGTACTGAACACTGGGATGGGTCGTGGGTGTTGGTCAGCCAGACCAAAAAAAAAAAAAAGCCTTCATAGTTTTTTATCTATCTTCACATGTAGGTGAGAGTGGGGTATTATATGTCACCCCTTAATCTAGCAAGCTGTATAGTTTTTGTCACATGACCATGTATAAATATAGAAGGGCTCATATCATATGTCTGCCTGGGATAGTCCTCCCAAAAATAGAATTATGTCATCATTACTCACCCTAATGCTGTTCCAAAACATGTATGAGTTTCTTAATTCTTTTAAACACATAATAAGATATTTTGAAGAATGTTGGTGACCAGATAGTTGACAGCACCCATTGACTTCCATAGCATTTGACCTACTACTATGGAAGTTAATGGCTACTATCAACCAACATTCTTCAAAATATCTTCTTTTTTTGTTCAAGAAACTCATTCAGATTTGGAACAGGGTGGGGAAATAATGACATCATTTTATTTTTGGGTGTCATTATTCATTAGAAAATAAGTTTTTAAATTATATATAATAAACAATATTTTCATCTTGTTTACCAGTACAAATATCTCAGCATTCTTAACGACACATTTACAGTACTTGAGAAGAGATGTGATAAGATATAATTTATGTTAACAGAATTAAATCTTAATTAAAGCTTAAAACAAAAACAAATATTTGTCAATGGGGTAATAACTCGTTTTCCCTTTTGAATTAATTTTATTTTTCTTAACCCAATTGTTATGCTATATCTATGTATGTATGTGTATATATCACATAAACTTAATTTGCCCTACTGTTTACAATAACCATTATAAAAACAATAACCATACATTTAAAAGTGGATTGTGCCACCTCCTCATTTTTATCCATATTTTTTCTTCAAACTGTAAAATGACCTTCTGACATGGTTTAATTACGCCTGAAAAGGGGTAAGTTGTGCCACAGGACAAGTCTCTGGGCCTTTGTTGTAGCTGATTTCCTTTTAATTCTGTAATATTAGACACACTGTCTGAAATTGAATTAGGCATATTTATTTTACAGTTAATGTTGCCAAGAGGTCAGCTTTAGAAAAAAGCGAGTTTAACTCTTTAAACGTTAAACCTCTCAGTATAAATAGCGGTTAAATGTTGCTTTTATCGGTTTGGCTTTAATGGCTCTGTTTTGTCTGAGAATCCTCTACAGGAGTGTAATTGTTTTTGTCAGTCTGTCTGCATTGTGTGATGCTCCCTGATGCTCTGTCCTGTCTCTCAGGGCCTCACACACACTTTCACACCCTCACACAAAGCTCTGACAACAGTTAGGCTTTACTGCCCCTCGGCCCGCTGGCTTTACGAGGCAGACAGTTCCCTCTCGCCGTAAACCCATCAGTCAGGAACAAAGAGGGCAGGTGCGAGCCTGCCTCGAGTGCTCACCTGCACCCAGCGGGGGATGAAGCCCATTTAGCAAACCCAAGAGGACATGCGCTCTTCTCCACTCCTGACTCCACTCGTGTCTCCTGAACTTCTCTGTTCCCCATCCGAAGCTCCTCACTTTTTTTTCCGTTATGTACATCTTATCTGCGAAGAAACCGCTGCCACACAAAGGGTCCTGAGGAGATGAGAGGGCTCGGGATTACAGCTTGAAGAGAAGGATAGACACGCGATTCATGCTGTTGTATGGGTTGACAGGTGGAACAACTAAATGCTCTCAAACAGTTTTACTTACATTTTTAATTGAATGCATTTTTGTCAGACTCTTTTATACTAACTGACTTGCATTGCATTCAAGGTCGCTTTACTGTATATGCTTATGCATTCCCTGGGAATCTAACCTATGGCTTTGGTGTAGTAGCTAGCAGCATGCTTTATTGTTTTAGCCACAGGAACACTTTATAACCTAGATTTGTAAAAAAAGGCAAAAAGCTTAAGCTATTTAGGTTTTGGCCGAGTGGTTAGCACACATGATGCTCATGCATAAGACACAGGTTTGACTTGGGTCCACGTTTCTCAATATTTCACAGATTTCTTGTCATCTAATTTCACTGTCAATAAAATAGCAAAATCAGCCCATAAAATACATAAGCTTACTGATGTACTATCAGAATTTCATCTTATATTTTTGCCGTATAAATATGGGCAATTACACCAATTTACATCTGTTGTCTTTCTTTTTGTGCATATTTAAACTTTTTTAAAACATATTTTTACTCAGGTTTTTTAAGATTTTACTCCTCCATATTTTCCTACACTCACCTAAAGGATTACTAGGAACACCTGTTCAATTTCCCATTAATGCAATTATCTAATCAACCAATCACATGGCAGTTGCTTCAATGCATTTAGGGATGTGTTCCTAAATCAGAATGGGCCGACTGATTCAAGCTGATAGAAGAGCAACTTTGACTGAAATAACCCCTCATTACAACCGAGGTATGCAGCAAAGCATTTGTGAAGCCACAACACGCACAACCTTGAGGCGGATGGGCTACAACAGCAGAAGACCACACCAGGTACCATTCATCTCCACTAACAGGAAAAAGAGGCTACAATTTACAAGCACAATTTACTCACCATAATTGAAGACTGGAAAAATGTTGCCTGGTCTGATGAGTCTCGATTTTTGTTGAGACATTCAGATGGTAGAGTCAGAATTTGCCGTAAACAGAATGAAAACATGGATCCATCATGCCTTGTTCCCACTGTGCAGGCTGGTGGTGGTGGTGTAATGGTGTGGGGGATGTTTTCTTGGCAGTCTTTAGGTCCCTTAGTGCCATTTGGACATTGTTTAAATGCCACGATCTACCTGAGCATTGTTTCTGACCATGTCCATCTCTTTATGGCCACCATGTGCCCATCCTCTGGTGGCTACTTCCAGCAGGATAATGCACCATGTCACAAAGCATTGAATCAATTCAAATTGGTTTCTTGAACATGACAATGAGTTCACTGTACTAAAATGGCCCCCACAGTCACCAGATCTCAACCCAATAGAGCATCTTTGGGATGTGGTGGAACGGGAGCTTCGTGCCCTGGATGTGCATCCCACAAATCTCCATCAACAGCAAGATGCTATCCTATCAATATGGGCCAACCTTTGTAAAGAATGCTTTCAGCACCTTGTTGTATCAATGCTACGTAAGGCAGTTCTGAAGGCGAAAGGGGGTCAAACACAGTATTATTATGGTGTTCCTAATAATCCTTTAGGTGTGTGTATATTAAACTTTATGAGCCATACAAGGCCTG